CAAGAGTCACTCAATGCCAGAGTGGGGGTGGTGAGAAGGTGTGCTGGTCTGGAGACCCATCTACAGCCCATGGATGTCTCCATGCCAGAGCCAGGAGCTGAGCCTGAAGAAGTCCGTGACTCCATGGGAAGCTTGCTTTGGAACATCTTGTTCCTGGACTTCCATGCCAGGAAGAGCAGCAGAGGTGAACTGACTGCAGCCCCCATTGCCTGTCCCCTGTGCTGCTGGGGGAGGGTAGAGAAATCAGGAGCAAAGTGATTTGAGCCCAGGAAGAAGGGAGGGGTGTAAGAAGGTGTCTTAAGATGTGGTTGTTATGTCTCACTGTGCTACTCAGATGAATGGTAAAGAATTAAACTGATTTTTCTTCCCCAGGTTGAGTCTGTTTGGCCTGTGACCATAACTGGTGAGTGAGCTGTCCCAGTCCCCATCCTAATCCGTGGCCCCTTTGTTGTGATTCCCTTCCCATCTCACTTGGTGGGGGTCCCTGTCCTCATCCTAATCTGTGCCCACTTTGTTGGGGTTCCCTTCCCATCTCACTGGGTGGGGGGAGTGAGTGAAGGACCACATGGTCCTACCTGTGGTTAAATCAGCACAGAATAGAAAAACAGTGAAGTCAGTGAGATTCCTCTTGAACTGTAGGTGCCAGACAGGGATATAAAAAGTTTGTACCATAAAACAGATCTACACAAATGTAGCTGTAACAAACAAGAATGCAAATTATAGGGTCAGAGTGACACAGATTTTGCACTGGTACATATCTCAGTCAAGTTACCTGAAGGGGGCCTAAAAGAAAGCTGGGGAGGGACTTTTTACAAAGGCAGGTAGTGGCAGAACAAGGGGAAATGGCTTTAAACTGGAAGAGGGGAGGTTTAGATTGGATATTAGGAATAAATTCTTCACTGTGAGGGTGGTCAGACACTGGAACAGGTTGTCCAGAGAAGTTGTGGATGCCCCCTCCCTGGAAGTGTTCAAGGCCAGGTTGGATGAGGCTTTGAGCAACCTGGTCTAATGGAAGGTGTCCCTGCTGATGGCAGGGGGGTTGGAACTAGATGATCTTTAAGGTCCCTTCCAACCCAAACCATTCTATGATTCTATGAAGATGGGAGACAATTATATTGCAATTATTTTTTACGTTTGCAGCAATCATATGTGGCTTTGACTAACATGCTGCAAAATAATTCCACTCATGTCCCTGCAGTGTATATGAATCTCCTTTGGAAATGCTGACTCGAACGGACTAACCCCATTTTCTTTCTGGAGCACAGGAACAAGAACTGGGATGTTATGGAACAGCCATACCAATGTACACCTCAGCCAGCTTTGGTTAACACCATTGATAATTCTTTATACAGGCTGGCAAGGAAACCAGTTTGCCGCTGAAAATACTGATGAACATACAGGAAGATCTCTATTGCTCTCTTTAAGAACTATATAGTGTGCCTACAATCAACTACAAAATATAACAGTGAAATGTTGTACATGTAGTGCAATGCCTCAGTCATGACAGAATGGTGATATAATTCCCAAAATTTTCACTAGCAAAACATTTATCGCAAAAATAACCCTGAAAGTTTTCCTAGAACTGCTAAAAATAAATATTTTTATCCTTTACAAAGGAGCTCTTTTTTCTCTACTAATAGTGAAATTCATCTGTGGGTTCCCAGTACTCTTTCTTTCTCACTGTCCACAGAGCCCAGTTGAACATTTTGCACTTTCACACTTCCTGGACAAGCACACTGACCTGTTCTCCCTGTGCAGCTAGTCTTGCTCTGCAAACTGCCACTCTCCACAACAACATCCACGTCGTACTGCCTCCCCGGGATGAGGCCCAGGTGGTGGATGAGGTACTCCGTGGTGTCCTTCTGGAGGGTGGTGTTGAGCAGCAGGGCGGAGCGGTTCCAGAGGAGCAGGCGGTACCTCTCCCAGTCTCCTGCAGGAGGCAGCCAGTTGACTCGCAGAGACCTCAGCCAGCCACCACCACCGGCCCTCAGCTCCGAAACTTTCTGGGGAACTGAAATGCAGAGATCGAGAGAATAATTCTGAAGTGGGGTATTTCTGGTAAGATGGAAGTGCACACCGGTGAAGCCAGCTTAGCTATTGTAGAAGTACTTGGATCAGTTAGAGCAACATGAGGTATCTTACTTCAAAGGTTGGCATTCACTTTAAAGTCAATTCTTACTCTTCCCCACACAAACCACCCACTTTTTCACTGTTGGTCTCTGACATCAGAAATTTGGAGCCCTTCTTAGGGCAGGCAAAATCTCTCCCATGTACTTCCCAGGTGCATCTTGAAGTTTTCAATTAGCTTCCTAGCTTTTTCCTAGACTTAAGTTCATTTAGAAACTGTTAACCAATTTTTCAAAGCTAAGGACAAAACTTTAACTGCTATGGGCCAAATTCTGGTCTCAGCAGCAGAAATGCAAAATTTGATGGCTTCTTCCACCACCAGTTTCGCTTCCCACAGGCACAGCTGGGGATTAAACCTAGATCTCCCACAGGTCAGTGAATGTGGGAGATTGTTTCAATTGCTGAGTGAGTAGATAAAAGCACACAGTGTTTTGTTAGGAAGCACGGATGTACTTACATAATGAAAGATAAAGTTCAGCCTTGTCAGACTGGCTGGACTTTATTACACTCCTATAGTACAAAGTTTCAGTCCCTGAGACGTTCATACTCCTTGCCACAACATTCCTCAGCAGGTTCTGCTGCCATAGGCACCCTCTCAATACACAGTGATGTAGATTATGTTCATGGGCACCCGGCCCACTCTGTGAGTTACAGAGGGATCCTGAGAGTCTGACCCCTTCAGTATCTGTAGACCTGACAGCCTGGATTTACAAATTTATCTTTAGGCCACAAAGCTTCTGCTGAAGTGACTCTGTTTTCAAAGCTCTTGGTATCCATGCAAAAGTCAAGGGAAGGAATTGCACACGATCAGCATCCTTGGAAATGGGACTTACAGATCCCCAACTTGGAAACTACTGGGTCTAGGTCACAAATGTGGGGATCAGTGGTTTGAGTGAGGGCCTGAAGCTTTCCCTTCAGATGGGAATGGTAATCTTAAAGGTCTTTAATGGCAGGCTAGACAAACAAAAAAGACATGCATGTAACCAGTCCAGCTTTGTACTTACTGGACATGAAAGGCTTTTCAGGTCTCTTCCAGCCTGAATTGAGAATGGGGTGGCAGCTAGACATGTCAAGGATGTGCCTTTCACACAAGATGTTTAGTTGTAGATGATAAATATTCTCTAAAATAACTACTCTGCTCTCTCTCTCTCACTCACACATTTTATATTTTTTGGTTTTGAGTATACTAACAATTCATGTATGTATTCTTCACCCACTTATATATTTTCTCCCATCTAAATTCTGCCTAGGCTAGGCTGATGTGGAGAAGATAACAGGCTTTTGTCACTAGTAATGCTGTGGAAGAATTACGCCAGGATTTTTTAGTTCAGAACTCATACAAGAGATACCTGAAAGAAAATTATACTTCTGAAAGAAGAAAAACAAAACATAACCCATCTCTATCCAGGCTGCCATATGCCTTCCTTAATCCATGCTGCTGGTGGTAAAGAAAGCTGAGACCTAATCTTTTCCTATTTATAGATTTGCGTCTGGAGCAAAGGAAAATATTAGACCTTGCAAAAATACTTAAAAATCAATTAACAAGTTGATTACATGCAGACCTCCCCATAATGTAACTCATTTTACATACTATGCTGAGTTGAAATCAAGATACCAAAGTTGGTCAGAAGTGGAGCAGTGTGTAACAGATTTGCCCAACTATAAGGTCCAAAATGCATTAGTGTTTCCTGCTCCCAAGCTCTGCTGTAGCCGCTTTTGGCTGCCCGATTAGCTGTCGCCAGAGAGTCAGGAAGGGGTACTCCTGGAACAATATTGTGCTCTTTATCTTATTTTGTCTGGAATCCAAATCACTTTGTCTCCTACAATGATTTTCTACAAGGCCAGCGTAGGCAAAAATAGCATCGGTTACAACGTCCTTACTGAAGAGAAGACTTACATGTCCTGGCAGTTGCCATCCGATCAGTAAACAGTTCACCACTGACTGTGCGGACAGTAACCTGATAAAGACGTCCTGGAGTTAGCTTGTCAAAGAGAGTCTCTGTGACCGGTGGCTGTAGAGTTCTGACTTCTTTAACTGATCCAAGATGAGACAGAGTGATATTATAGAAACTGAGGTTTCCTGAAGGTCTTCTCCACTTAACTTTTAAAGCATCTGAGCTGTCACCGTTAGTCACCGTCAAATCTAAGACTTCAGCTGGGGCTAAAAAAAGAAAATAAGAAAGAAAATAAAATACTTCCACCACAGAACATATAAAGACCTGCTACCTCCAAACTGCAATAGTTAAGTTTTACTTTTAAATGGTTATAAGAGATGGAGAATGAATGATTGTGCCTGAACAGTGAAAGGGCAAAGCCTGGTCACAGTGAAACTGAACCCAGCCCTGTTTAAAATACTCTGCCGCCGAGAGTGACACCTCTTGTGATGACTACTCTTGTTTCACAGAATAGAAAATCTGTTAGCCATGTCTGCCTGGCTCACACTAGTCATTCTGACTATAAAACAGACCAGGCACATGCTCCTAAGAACAGAGATACCTGCGTACATTTTGGTAGAATAAACATTACAGCATCATTGGAGCTATGCCTGATTTACACTAATGTAGATAGGATTGGAATCAAACTCCTTTATTCAAATGCTCCACCAAAAGCCACCTCCAGTATCTTCATTTCTCAGGCCAGGGACACACTATGTACTGAAATGGAGGACCATGGGGCAAGCTAAATGGAGTGCTTTTATGTTCTGAGAAAAGCTGTAAGATGTAAAATTTTTACGCCCTGCAACAGGAAGAAATAAAAAATTCTGAAGAAATAAAATGAACAGCCAGTGCTAGCATCTGTGTGCCCTAGACACCACTTAATATTAAATTATATTTACATGATGAAATTTCTGTAGGAGAAACTGCACCTCATGTTTGCCAGAAATTAAGGAAAGCAAAGGCATGATCTTGGTTTTGCTTTCATGAGTGTTTTAACCATTGTGCTCTAGTAGGATGTCATCTTATCTTTCTCTCTATGACCACATAACTCTATTCTGAAAAACCTTCCGGAAAAAAACCTTCATTTCTAAAACTTTAGTTCTGTGAATCAGTACACCTCTGTGAAAAAAACAAACCAAACCCCAACATTCACTTTTAAAGTTCTTACCCTGCTCTACCATGTTTTTAAACTTCCTTTTCAGAAGTGCAGCTTTTTGAAATCCAGAGAAAAAAGACACAGAAAATATTTTTTTGCAAAACTCACATGCTCTGCACCTCCCATTCAGCTAAGTAAGGATCATGGAGTTAAAATGTCTTCAATACTGTGAAATAACCAGACTACACACTGCCTTAATTCACTGAAGAAGTCAGATGGACCTCTTTGACAGATATGAGGTCGTACCAGGGTATCGTACCTGGTACGATATGAGGTCGTACCAGGGCTCAGAGTGTTCAGCACCTAACTACATGTTTAATGGAGCTGCCTACATTAAGCAGTGCAGCTAATTAGGCTGCAGACACCCTAAAAGCTAATTTAGCTGCTAACTTTGCTGCAATGGTAACTCAAGGAACTAAATAAGCTTATGGTGTCTCTAACTCCCTCTATAGCCTTTGGAGAGAAATAACCTGCCAAGGGTAATTCAGTCACTGAAGTCTGGGAACATACACTTGGAACACGAATAATTCATTATTCTGAAATGTGTCCTGTAATATTATTAGATTGTGGCCTCAACTTCTTATTCTGTTGTGATGAATTCTGAAATCATACCTGTCCTGACAGCTTGAAAACTGCTGCTCTCCAATCCTGCAGCCTGGGTTGTGATAGTGAGGTTATACAGGTGGCCTGCTGTAAGTCCTGAAAAAGTGTAGGAGGTCAGAGGATCTTCTTGGTGAATCTCATGAACTGGGACATGATTATCCAATAACACCAGCCTGTAACGATCCACGTGCCCAGAGCCAGGAGACCATGAAGCATGGATAGTGTCTGTCTTGACACTGACCTGGATATTTTTCACAGGGGATGGCACTGTTGGAATAAAAAACACATGCAGAAGGCCTAATGGTTATCTCCACAATTTCAGTGATTGTGAACAGATGTACTTTTGAAATGTGATGTGTTTCTTTGGGGTTAGTGAAAACTCAGTCCCAAATTTATGTCCAAATATATCATAACAACATGCCTCCGTTCTTAGCAAACAACTCTTTCTGTTAGTCAGAGATTCATGTTTTGTTTACTTCTACGTATAATCAATAGATACTTACTTATATGTATCTTGCCAGGTAGAAGAATTATATATATTTGTTAATTTCAAAATGCAGAACTGCAAAATACTTTAAGTGGTTTTATTTAGACGAACTACAGTAAAAGAAGTCCTACCAGTAGATCCACTTATGTGAAGTTCTGGGGTACTCTTATTTCCAGCAACTGCACTGAGGACAATGTTGTATTTATTCCCAGGGATGAGACTGGAAAATGTGTTTTCTGGTGTTGAAATTCTTCCTGATATGGAGACTTCTTGTATCTTTTTATTATCATGATCAAATAATACTAGGTTATACAAGTCCACCTTTCCTGAGGAAGGATCCCACTGAACCTGTAAGCTTGTGGGTGTAGTTTTTTCCTTATTAATTTCAAAACGAGGTGGCAGTAAGGGATCTGTGGTTAAAAAAAAAAACAAAACAGAAAACATAAACTAATATTTCTTGCATTGGAATTGTCTGAAGTTTTACATTGCAGCACAAAAAACCTTCCAAAACTCTCCCTTTATCACTGCCAGTGCTTTTCAAAAGGTATTTTTCTTTACATTTATAAGCATTGTATTACTGAAACCTGTCTACAAGAGAGTACTGCAGAATTCAGAAATGTTACTTGTGTATATGTGTACACACTCACTCACTCACACACACACACACATCTAGAAAAACACTTCCAGCTGTGGATGTATATAACAAGCTTGGAAATCTGCTGATAGTAAAACTGTAACAACTTCAATAAGAAACAGCAAACATGAAAATCCAGCTGATTACAGTCAGTGCCTCAGTGTAATGTGGCTTTACAGATACAATGGTACCAGTGGCTTTCATTTCCTAGCACTCACACTAAACACTTTATCATTAACAGGCATGAGCATTTATACAATTTTAAGGGCAACAATCCTTTGGTTTTAGTATTAACTTCAACCACTTCAAACAGATTCTGATAGAACATGTTTCTGCTCTGCTGTAGTATTGTTCATATGAATTAAAAAAACTCCAAACAGTACACTGGATAAACTTTTAGGAACTATATTTAATTGGGACTATTTCTCTGAGAAACTCCTTGCATTTTGTATATTGTTTATTAAGGAGCTCTCAAGTACAATCACCTGTAAAATACAGTAACTCTAAAGAGATGAGAAACATTGACCAAAACAAAAGACTCTGCCTGTATGCTCCAGGTGTATTTCATCACTCATAAGACTTCATGCAAATCAAAAGAAATGTACTACCTGTTGATGTACTAAGGTATTGACATCTATGTCTCCCAATAAGGTTAAGCAACTGCATATTAAAAAGATATTGTCAAACAACCCAAACCAGCAAAATCAAGCATTCACAAGTCAAAGAGTTCATAAATTAAAGCTTCCCAACAATTTAACAACTAAATTTTGGCTTCCACGTCAGAACAGTCTGTACTACTCTTGCCTAGCATCAGACAAGGAGTGTATGGTGCGTCCGGGCTGAGAACTGAGGTCTCCATATGAACAGTGCCTTAAACACAGAATAAGACTGTTTTTCCAACACAGTCATTGCTGGTTCCCTGAGCAAGGCAGACAAAAAGAGTGTGAGACCATATAATTAAAAACTGCACCACAAAGGCTGAAATGATAAAGTTGAACCTACCTCCAACCTATGAATACAGTGGTAGGAGTATCATGGGGCTAGTAGCCTTTAAAGTGTTTCGTCTTCAAAGCCTGTATAATTGCTTTCATTGCTTCTTACAAAGCTCTGCTGAGAACACAGTGGTGCCCGGTTTTGGTGGTATGCTCTGTCAATCAACTATATTAGGAATCTGAAGGGAATATCTCCCTCCTTGGTGACATTCAAAAGCTGTCTGGACATGGTCCTGGCTTGGGCTAGATGACCTCCAGAGGTCCCTTCCAACCTCAATCAGTCTGTGACTTTGTGACTCTATGAAAAATACTGTGTCCCCTTGAACTCAGGTCTCTGCTTAAATTCAGATTACTGCTTTGGATAACAGAGACACTAGTGCTCTTCAGAAAAAGGGATTAAAATTTAATTAACAAATTCAATAAATAAAAATAATTCTCTTATTTTCTTGACCTCTTTCTTTAAGGCCAAAGTAACTCTGCTTAAATCTGTAAAAAACAAACAAACAAACAAAACCTCCACTCGAAGACCAAGCACCTCAAACTTCAGGCCAAATAGTTCAAACTTCATCCAGTTTCAACAACTAAGACAGGAGATTTTAATGAAAAGTGTCAGGAAATCTTAACAATAGGCTTGACTACGAGCTCCACCCATAATATATACTAAGCCACTAAAGACTATTATGCTGGCAAAAGTGAATAGTCAGGATATAAACTTGTTCCTTGAAGGCAATTGTTCTAATCAGAAAGGTCAAATTTTGGGAGTCTGAAATAAATTCCAGCACTATATATGGTCAGATGCACAGACAGCTGAAAAAGCTTTAATTTGACTGATATCAAGAGAACAGTCATGATAACTGTCAAGAAATTTAACTCTCTCTCTGACAAAGTTAGGATAAGGTTGAGTGCTCATTAGTCCTGCAAAAGTAATCAACATTGTAATCCGTATTATTTGCCAAATTCTATAATAGAAGACACCTCCTACATTTTTAGAAGCTCTTATACCACCCTGGGCAATCTGTCTTCTAAGGTACACTAGCAAAGAAAAGAGTTGCGTGCCTAGAAGGTGAAGTTCAGAAATTCAGACTTTATCTAATCTATCTGGTCCAGAAAACAAAACACTCAGTGCTCTGTACATCCGCTAGAACAAAGGAACAATGAGATTGGGAAGTGCCTGGGCTGAAAGAGCCCTGGATGGAAACAAACACTTAAAAAGCCATTTACATTGTTATACAAGTCTCTGCTGGCAGCGATACAACACTGATATATCACAGAAATAAAATATTTTCACAAAGATATTTTTATACCATTTGATACTATATGAATTAATGTCTCCTGGTCTACAAAGGAATTTTCCAGAAGACTTAATGTTGTCTGAGTTATATCACACCTCCATTTTCACTTTTTGGGAAGAGGATATACTTTCTGTGCACAGCTGCTACAGATACATTTTATAGAAACAATAGACATGGTTATGTCCAATCCAAAGGACACGACTCCCAAATAGAGCCTGTAGGCACAGAAACACCCCTGCCTTGCGCAGGAGAAAAAAATAACTGAGAAATATCAGCCCAGGACTGAGTAACGGGGAATTCCTGCCAGTCCCAGCCATCTTCCTACCAAATTACCCATTTTTTTCCTTGTTTTCCCTACTCATAAAACAGTAACCTACTTCACAAGGACTTTTCTGAAGATTAAGTAGAGAGGTTTGATTTCATTGTCCTTATGGTACAAATATCCATTTCTCTGGGATGATACGCAACCTAGAAAACCTTTAAAACATGATTATTTATTTTCTTCTCATACTCTGACTTTTGAGATGATGATCATAACCATTATGTGATTATGCATTACAGGATTATACAGCCTATAGTCAGAGCCATGTCACAGTAGCTGTTCCTACAGATGGCTAATAAATCAGATTTGTCCAAAATAATTTGAAATTTACAGGACTGAACACAAGGCCAAGCCATGCTTCTGGCATTTACAGTTACATGTTAGAATGGAAAAATACTCTTACCAGTGTGTGTCTTAGGAGGCAGAATATTTAACCTCTTTTCCTTCAAATATTTAGGAGTTTTTCTGACAAAAATTTATTTAACTGTCAGTTCTCTCAGTACAGGTGGCTTGAATTAGGCAGTAACATAATACATCACTGCAATATTTTTGGAGAAAACAATGTTGAAAATTGCATTTATAAGCCTATTTTATAAGACATATTTGAAAGCAGGGGAATTGCCAAGTTGTTTTTCATGGCTCTCAAGACCAGTATTTCAAATCTGAATTTCAATTCATAATTGAAATTCATAAATTTATCTGTCATTTAAGATCTGTTCATATAGTATTGTTTTTAACTAGAATTTTAATTAAAGACCTAGTCATTTACTGAAAATACACTACTGAAATACATAATTATGCTGGTGCACAGACATTCGGAGAATTGAGAATTTACAAAGTATTTTATCTGAAATCAAGAAAGTCACAATACTACTATCTTTTGTCACAGAGTAGCTCTCAGTCACAGAAATAGTTTAACTGAGAACAATAAAGAAGATAATGTGAAAGGAACAACAGGTGCATGTGTTGTCCCAATTTTACAATGTCAAGCACGCTGCCTAGTTGTATGGTTTTATGTGCTGTTCTATGTATATATATTAAAAAAAATAACAAAAGTAAATATTAATGTGAAATAAACATACAGACTAGTGCCTACTAACATCTATAATCTCAGTGGAAAATGTATCTGTAGCTCAGAGCTGATAAATGAGGCTATCAATCAGCTTTTTCTTCATTTCCTATTTTACCAAAATAGCACAACTGTTGACATTGTATGTGTGTTTGCACACCGGTGTATACCTGGCTTATATAGTGCATATGTGATTGTATTTTCCATTGTTTTGGAGGCCCTGCTTTAGTTCTGCTCTAGAGAATTAAATACTTGTCATTTTAAACTGATAACTCATAGATCAAAATTTCTTCAGTAAACACACTCCACCTCAGTGGACTAGTGCAGATTACAGCAGCAGTATTCCATACGTTATTAGATTTCAGATCTGTGCATCCACAAGTGAAATAGAAACTGCTTCCCTACTCAAAGATTCATGAAGGGTCAGGTGTTACTTGAGAGTTCATGCAGTCTTGGTGAGCTGCACACTTAATGTATTGGAATATCAAACTTGCAAACAACGTAGACTTAACTCCTTGTCATAACTACGATTTTAATGTGAAATTAAATACTCAAAAGGCCAAATTAAGTTAGAGATTGGGTCCTCTCCAAGCCTTCACATTACAGCTGCAATTACAGTACACATTATTCACCACTTTCACCTTAAGTCCTTAGTCAGAACAGATCACACTCAAAATTTAGCTCCTCCACACTTTGTGTAACAAATATGGTGAAAATTGAACTCATAACAGGAATGAGAACATGAAAATTTTAACAGAATTGAATATGAGCAAAAAGTTAAAGTTTCTGAAGTAGGTATGCAAATGAATCTGCAACTTTCTCTGTGTACATTTATTGTATCAAGACAACACGGATGTTCAAAACCTTATTTTGCAAAAGTAAACACATGAGATGGGATTCCTCTCCCTTAACTTCAACCATCTAAACTTCAGGTGCCTAGTTTAACCTAGGCTCCTTTTATAGTCCGTGGAGAAAGCTGGTCACCGCCAAAGGACTGCTTAGTCCATCTTTCTCAGACAAAGAGCTCAGGAAGGGAATCTCACCGAGTACCAATGTCAGGCGTCATATTTTTAGACGGTCCATGACAGCTCAGTTCTGCTA